CTTTGACCCAACAATAACATACAGTGTTGATTTTCAGGTGCATATTTTATTGTGGATCATAATAAAGGCTTCAGAAAAAGAACAGGAAAAAGTCAGCAATAGAGTGTCTCTTACAGATTACATAAAATACATTCTGTGAAAGCTAACTCTGCAGCTGAGGGCAATGCAGTTTAAATTAAACTAATCATTATTTTCAGATACACATTTTAAGAAGTAAATTTTGCAAATATTATTTATCAATTAGTCTGATATTCAAATTTAAAACCAAATATTTTAATGACATGAACATTGTCACAGAGGATGTCGTATTAAACCATTAGAAAAGAAAAAGTCATTACTGCAAAAAGAAATAGTCACACAGAAAATATTGTAAAAAAATATAAAGTTAGCCCTAGTAAACGTTAAATTACTCAAAACCTCTTTGGAATAATCTGTGGATACTGAGGTATGAATAATTTTGGAATTTTGGTACTGCTGTCTCCATTTCCCATGTGATACATTGAAACAAAATATCTTACTTTAAAATAATTTTAACTTTTCTACAAATTATTTCTTCAGCCTTTAAATGTACTTTAACTGTAAAGACAAAACCTACTAATTCTTACAGTAAAATGACAGAAGTCTATTAAGTTAACAGTGTAGAAAATGTTGCAAGGTATCTTCAAGGCACTATTACTTCTTTGGGTGCTTGACACACACACAGGCCATTCACGAGGGCTGTTTTGACAGGATGACAAGAATAACAAAAGCTAGACCTACAGCTAGTATCTAGTACATTAAATATCATATATATATTTCTCTAATGAAATAAAACCCATTACTTTTAAAATCCATTCTACTTTGCAACACTGTGGCTTGCAGCAAGGTGTCTGGTAAATTAATCTGAAACATGAATTTAAAAATATACTTTGCGAAAATAAGAACAGAGGTCAACCAAGTAGCATTTACCTCAATCAATAGAATCTGCCAGAATGTAAACCATTCCCAAGTACTGTAACTCTCTGTAAAACAGCAAGGACCAAATGCTCTGTTGATTTAATGCCACTGGTTTACACAGAGATATGCCAATCAGCAACCTGGTTCACAGTCAGTCAAGTAGATTAGGATCTTATCCAGCACTTACTGGTCCACTTGAATTCCTGAACTATGTAGCTGCAAGGGTTGCTGCCCCCCTATAATAAGAAGATAGCTACTGACTAAGAGTAGTAAAGAGCTATTTGTCCTGCAGTCAGTTCATTTAATAAGAATCTTGGTGCACCTGTACTCCACTGGAAATATACAACAATCAAATTCTGAACTTCATGCATGTGTCTCAGTAAAATTACGCAAAGACTCCAATATCTATTTTTCCAGGGCCTGTTCGTTATGTAAACTTAATGTCAGCCAGCAGGAAACACACAGGAAAGGAGCTGACCTCAAGATACTGGGATTTTAGATCGTTATTTTGATAACTTCTTGACATAGTATTAAGAATCTGTAGCTCCTCTTTGAAAAAAATAAGTTTTGTGTAATTGACAGAGCATGCCAGGATCCATCAACAGGGAAAGGATGCTTATCTCCAGCCACAAAACAAATCTGGATACCATATTGCTGGATGCAATGAATGTATTACAAGTCACAGAAGCACAAAAAACTCTGTTCTTTTGGCAGTTTGATAATGACCCAGCAGCAGAAAACTTTACTGTTTGTCTGTTACTCAAGTTGGCTAATAATCTGCCAGTTGTTGGCCTCAGCTACCTGTGGGCCTTTGTGTGACACAGCACAACAGCCAAACACATCGGTCTGGTGGATGAGATTCAAATACCACCATGAAATCTTAAGGCAGTGGCTGTGACCCATACTACCTGGCTTTAGAAACCCAGCAAAAGGGCTGAGATAGCAGCCTTGAGATCCAAGGCTCCTTCTGGGACTAGCAGTGAAACTGGCCTCTCCAGGTGACTGTTACCTTACGTGGGGTCAACCCTTTAATTTGGGTCTACATAATCATTTAAAATAATTATAAATAAATCCAGGATTGACCTAAAACTTAAACAACTTCTATCATATTATCAACAGTGAGGAAAAATCTGCCTTCAGCTCTACATTAGCATACACTGCTGTGTACCACAAACAAAAGCATCCCAGGTGTCAGCAGAATTTGGCCCAGCTAGCCTAACAGCTCAGTTCCCTGAAGGAAGGTGCAGGCCTACACTGAATGCTGAAGAGCAAACTGTCTGGAGTATTATTCTATATTTCTATAATATTCTGTATCAAAGCAATAAATATTAGATATAATCTGTATATTAGATTTCATATTTATCTGATAGCTATTTAAATCTACATTGTTGAAAATACAAGCAGTGACCCACTCTTACGTGGCAGCATATACTATTTGTGTGAATGTGTTAAAACTATCACATGGGTCTATATTTACATAGGACACTATTGTTTATATAGCAGATTTTAATTTACATAAACTCTTACTATAGGATAGATCATTGTGTAAAGGTTGGATAGTTAAGTGTTTCTATGGTTCTGCATAATTGCATTTCAGCACGAGGATTTCATCATTCTGTCTCAGTTTTATGTTTTTTAAGGATGGAAAATGCAGTTTGACAGACTTCAAAATCTCCAATAATGTTATACCAATATAACACAGAATACTTATTTTCAAATCCAGCCAAAAAGCAGTTTCACTGTTCCTAATTTTTTCCTTTACATATATAAACTTCGTCTTTAAAGAAAGCGCACTCCTGAAATCAAGGGCAATCAAAATGTTTTGGCAGTGCTGAGATGTAAAAGAGTATTTCAGCTGAGCACGATCTGCAGAAAAAACATTGTACATTTTTAAATTAACAATTACAATTACTCCAGTCTAGGTGTGCAAATGAAAAAATTACATGTGAAACATTAAAATAAGCTGAAATTACTGCTGGTATATACATGAGAAGTTCTTTCTCAGTTTGCTCAAAAACCACTTTGTTAATTCCTATCATTTAGCTTCTCAAATAATAAAGACACAATGAAAATTGTTTGTTTTCAACAAGGTAAAAATGTCCAGTTATTTACCTGTGTAAAAATAAATATTTTTTATTTCCTGCATCTCTAATTTCAGAAATTCAGATAAAAATATAGAAATAAAATATTTTAATAAAGATATTTAGAATACTTGTAATAATCAGATAACAATGTCTGATTCCAGAGAATGTCCAGGTATTGTCTTTTGAATGAAATATTTACTTTTCTTTGCAAAAATTGGTATTTACTTCTCAGAATAATAATTTCTGTGGTCCCCAGCAGAAGTCAGAATCACTTTGTTATTTAACTTCAGTTAGTGTTCATCGAAGACAGAACATAATTGTTTCTCTTTCCTTTATGTCAATGCTGCACCAGAAAACTCTGTATTAAAAAAAGTTCTGGAAAATTGAAAAATATGTAATGCTTTATACACTAAGTAACATACAGATGTTATTGACTGCTCTTGCCAGCACTGCATTTCTTCAGATGGACAGACTCAGGAGCTGACAGATTGCTTTCCCTTTCACCTATACCAGTTCTGCCATAATTGGATGAGTATTAACACTTCTCCTTCCTTCACTAAACAGCTTGAAGATTTCTAAACACTCATACAGTAATTTCAGCCTCAGGATTTTCTTCCTTACTGTGTAATCCAGGATTCCCAAAATCTGCTGTTGCATTGGAACACTTTTTTTAGAAAGTTATCTAAGACTAATAACAAGCCTGCTAGCAAACGATTACTTTACCCTTCAACTTATGCCAGTGCAGTTTTTGGTAATAAAGTCTCCTGTCAGGCAGTTTATATCAGCTTCTTTATGGAAACAACTGGTGCTTGATATCAAGTCTAAGAGAAGAATCAACTCCCATTTGTCTTTTGTGTCTTTGTTAAAGCTAAAACCAAACAGAAAACAGCTTATACTTGGTTATGGTTAGAAACAAGTACTCTTTATAGTCTCCTAAAATGATCAAAGAACCTTACACTGTAAGGGAGTCTTTACAGACCTAAAAGTAGTGCTTTTGTAACTGAAAGGCTACAGGAATGATCTGGAAAATATATATATATAATTCTTAAAAAAAATTATTTTTTTTTTGCTCTGTGTGTGTGTTGGACATTATGCAGTAAAATACAGTAATCTTAAAATCAACCAAAGGAACAAATTCTAAATCCTATTTATCAATAAATCCATACTTGCAACCTGATAATCCTGTGTTTAAACTATTAAAAGAAACACAAGCTGTTCTTTTACTTTCTAATACTACGTAATACAAATACTACAGGGAAACTGTATTATACAGGTGTGTTTTCCTGAAATGTGTACTTTGAAAAAAGATCTCTTCCTTGAACAAAACCAAGTCACAGGCTGCAAAGCGTATTTATATGGAATGCTCAATAACACATATTTAAACCAGAGTATCATATCATAATAAAAAGTCTGAAGGAATGAGTAACTACTTCAGTTTGTACCCATAAAATTCAAGCCGAACTTCCCTGGAAATACAAATGAATCAGCTTAAGTGCCTGAGAAAGTCTCTTCTTTTTAGCTGTGAAGTGAACAAGAGTATTTAACTGTTTCTCCCCATGCACATTTCTCATCATTAGAATGCAACCATATTATCATGGATGGAAAATCCCTAGATTAAAAAAGATTATCTGTAAAAAATATTAAAATAGATACTCAGTGCTGAATCTTCCTATGATTGGCTTCAAAGGCTGACTTAAATTAAAGTTACTAAATCTTTTTTCTTTCTTGCTTCACCTGCTACAAAACAGTGTGAAGACAGTTACTGAGACATTAATTCTCCCACAATATACCCAAATACTTTTGTCCAACCCTTTTTCTTCATAATTTATGTTTTAAATCTACTATGAAAAAAAACTTATAAAGTTTTCAGATAAATTGTTTAGCTTCTTTTAGAATAGAGATGCAGAGGAATACTGATGAAAAATACGTTAGGTATGATGTTTTCTTTGTTAACACTCCTTTAGGTCCCAAACTGATTCTTCACTCCACATTCCTGTATTTGGTAAACAAATTGTATAGTACTCTCAGTGTAGACTTCAAGTCACAATTTACAATATCTGGAAAAAGAGACAAGGGAAAAAAAATCCCACATTAGTAACTTTATTAGCACAAAACATTTTCAAAGTAAGTGCCTATAATCCACTCCCTTTCACTGTTCAGATCCATATCCATGAGCATTCAAATCACAAAGATACTAAGGAAGAGGAGAAATACAAATAAAGCACAGTTTTTAAACTGGCAACTAAAAATTGTGATTTCAGCCACTTTTAGTTAGGGATACAAATGGCTAATCTTGCTGATATGAAGAAATGCTGCCAAATTGTTTGTAGAATGATGTGCGTGTATGTATATATTACTGAATCTGCAGTCAGTTGTGCCAAAAAAAAATATTATTTTGAAAAAATCAGGCAGGAACCAATGGAGCTCTTCTATTAGGTGAGAATTATAGGACTTGGCCCATTTTGGGCTGCAACATCCTTTATTAGACCTAATTTTGGCAAAATAGCTAAAGACAAGTTGAGATTTTCTAAAGGAAACCCAGGTATAGAAATGCCCCTCAAAGACAGTTCTGAAAATGCTTTGAGTTAGCTGATGTTCATGGCTGAATCAGTCCTTAGAAACTCGACATCTAAAGTAAAGGATTTATAGGCAAGAAAAAGCTAATGAATACCTCCTGTTTCCAAGAGAAGTTGTTGAGAAAGTCAATATTATTTCACAAGAAATCTATAAAACAAACTGACAAGTACTACTGCAGCAGTCTATGCTAGTGCTTCAAGAAATATCCAGTCTCAAATAGGGACTCAGAACTGCCTCAGAAAGAATACAGATTAATTAGAATAGAATAAGAACAGGTTTAGAATAGTGTTAGAAGAGAATTAGAATAGTTCCATCTCTTTCTGTTGACTGTACAGGAACTCAATCTTCTACCTTTGGTTCTTGGAACTGGCCATGAAGGTGTAAAGCAGGTGGTACGAATACTCCCATTATCTTTAAAACCTCCAAGTTTAGTAATTTGGGTACATAATCATCAGGGATTTTTGCCATTGTATTTATCTACAGTGATTTTTCTCTCAGATTGTGAAGGGGTTGTACTTTGAAGAATGAATCTAATCAATTCTATAAGCATGATGTCACAAACTTTGTTATGCAAACTTTGAAGGGGTAAAGATATTAGCTACATGGCAAACTGACATGGAGAAAGGCTGAAAACAATCAGAGGGTGAAAACAATACAGCCTACATTTTATGCTGAGACTATGCATGGTTATGAAACCATGGCCACATGGTTTTGTAGCTATAAATAAATCAGACAAAAACACTTGGTACAAAATGAAGAGAAAATGCCAAAAGCTACATGAAGGGCACATTGCTCCGACAACATCATGTAAGCAAACAGCAATCTGGAGTGTAATTAGGGAAGTTTCCTCTTTTAGACCAGCAACAAGGTAAGAACACCTTCATTTCCTAAAATACAACTTCCAATTAATAGAGAGATCACTTCGACAGGTCTTTGCAAAATTACTAGAAGACTCCACTGCCACAACAGAATTCCACAGAAAGGTCCAAACAAAAAATAAGCATGCTCACAGAGAAAGATAAATTATTGCCATTGCTACAAATGTTTGACCAACATATATAACATTTCACTGGTTACAATTTTCAGAAAGAGAAATTTGATTTTGGCTTTCAAGGATAGTAATCTGAAAAAGCTCAAACTGCAACTGAATTCATTACAGACTCAGCAGACTAATGTACTGGCCATTTTAAAAGTAAAAGGTCATGGAAAGCTATTTAATACCTTTTCAATTATATTGCAAATAACCCAAATAAACTGTTGACCCCATAAAAATCATTGGTTTTCATACTCATTTATTTAACCACATTCTTTTTTCCACTAAATATGTTTTTCATATTCTAAAGCACTTTTCAGCATATTTTTTCCTCAAGAACCTCAAAGAAACAGTGTAGGAATTTAAAGAGTATTTAGTATACACATTTAGGGTAAGATCCTTTTCAATACTTTTGCTCACTGGAAACTTTAAGCACGGGCATTGTGCCCAGTGTAACAACACATAAAACAGATGTGTTTTTCCATTCACGTTGGGCAGGAAGTTTCATATTAAGCATTTCAGTAATTGCACAAGCAACGTCTTATATATGCTGAAATATCCTTATGGCTTGATTTATACTGGAAAAATTAGCTGCCCCCTAGAGCAATAAATACCTGAAAAATTAAATGCCATAAGAATTTTAAACCTCCATGGGGACTAAGGGATCACAGATACTCTCTGTTTTACCTGGATCCCCAGATTTCACGATTTCCCCCTCCTCTCTTTGACTATTTCAAACATAAAGGTTTGTGATACTGTCACCACTGCTTTAGTTAAGCATGATTGTGGATGAGGGTCACAGTGATCAAAACAAGTGAAAAAAAAAAAAGCAGGGGTAGGTCCAGATAAAATGCATAGGCAGTGTAGACTCAATCCTGAGACATTTTTTGTGTGTGCACGTGTATGTCTGCTGCTGTTATAATGTGGAAGTTCAGAGGGATAGAAAATAAACAGAATGGAGCAGAACTTGATTCAGTGATGTGTGCCTACATCTCCAGAGACCCCTTACTACTAGAATGAGAACTCTGAGCATTCACTTATATCAAGTCCGCCGGGAATGATAATCCAATAGTACAGCAGGAAAACACTGTACACCACAGAATGTGAATCTGCAGTGGGTCTTGAAAACACAGATGTATTGATTATGATGGTAGGAAACCAGCAGAGACCCAGCTAGTACCCTGTTGGGAAGAGTGGAGCAGAAGCTGCACGTCCAGCTCCTGCATGGTAAGAAGTGGTAACTTCTCATAGGAGGAACCACAAGAGTACAGTGTAATATGGTGAATCAAGGGCCCTACATCCAGCTTGAAAAGCTTGATTTAAACCATGTATTTATACATGCTAAAATGAGTGGAATCCTGGTCCT